AGATGATAATTTATCACTGCCATCATTTGGTGATTGGGTTCTTTCCTCCTCAGTAGCTCTTTAAGTTGGAATAATGTATTTTCTTCCTCCTTACTATGTGTTAATGGTGTAACTGGAAAGCATATCCAGATGGAAATTGGAAGGTATGAATTCTCAATGCTGCTGAGTGCATTATGTATTTTTTGTGTTTCCTGCTCTGAAATAAAGCACTTAATGGTCTCTAAAATTAAAATTATAGTGTAGTGCATTAGTCACATCTGCCATTATTTATCCTGTTCATGAGGATACCTGTTTGATATATTGTTAATTTGATGAATTTTGCAGAACAGTGTCCCCTTAATTTATTTATTTATTCATTTTTGTTGTTTTGGTTGTAATGAAGTTTTTATGTCCTGAATTCGGCTATCCTCTTATAAGTGCCCTAAGATCACCAAATGTGGTGATATGTGTTCTGTGCTAGTTTTTGGCGCAATTGTGTGTTGTATGGCAACCCTTTTGATGTTGAATACTCCTTTGGTAGATTGGTTTAATTGCTCCTTGTTTCGTGTCGTGCTTGTTTTGAAAGGCATATGTTGCAATGAGAAACGTGATTGCAAGAGGGTATGGGAGATTATTTTTAGTGGCTGTGCATGATAGAAGTAAGGAAACACTGATGCAGTGTATTAAAGAGTGGATTGAGCCTTGTACAACTATTTTTTCGGATGGCTGGAAATCTTACAAGGATTTAGGAAAAGAAGGTTTTGAACATTTATTTGTGGACCATAGTATGAATTTTCTGGATAGTGTGCCTGGCTGTCATATAAATATGATAATGATTACGTGGCGCCATGAAATTGGTATTTCTGCTGTTCAAAAAAGCATTCATTCATGGTAAGTGCATTTTATTTTTAAAGTTGAAACAGAACGCTGTGTACATGGTATTTTTTGAAATTGGTACGACTCTGATATACGCCCTAATTTCACCAAATGTGGTGATATGTGTTCTGCGCTGGTTTTTGGCACGATTGCGTGTTATGGCAACCCTTTTGGCGTTGAAAAATCTTCTGCTGGAGCTCGTTGGCTCGTGTCTGTGTCTGAGAAGATAGGGAGGAAAGATAAAATGGTGGAAGTTATTGAATTGAAGTTTGGCAAAAGGAAATATCATTGTGGCCATCTTGTTGAGGGACAGTGGGTGTTTGGAGGAGTGGAAAGAGGGTCTGGGAAATTAATTTAGTGGCTGTGCATGATAGAAATATGAATTTGTGATTATTTGTGATTTTATTTATTTGTGAACCATAGTATGAATTTTCTGGATAGTGTATCTGGCTGTCATATAAATATGATAGTGGTTATGTAGCGGTATGTTAAAGGTGGTATGTGAAATTGCTATTTCTGCTGTTCGAAAAAGCATTAATTCATGGTAAGTGCATTTTATTTTATTCTTGTTCTTATTTTGTAGAATGTTATGTTCATTGTTTTTTTTTTTTTTTTTTTTTTTTTTTTTTTAGTATGAATTTCTGTCATTTGAATTGTTTGAAATTTATTTTAGTTATTTTAGTTTATTTTGTTGATTAGTGCATAGTGTCTAGATTGTGCAATTTGTAGATGTTTTTTAAAGTTGAAACATAACACTGTGTACATGGTATTCTTTGAAATTTATTGTTGTTATGTTAATTTATTAAAATGAGGTGTGAGTAGTTCGTAGATTCGTTCATTGCCTAAATTGTGCAATTCGTAGATTTTTTTAGAATTTAAACAGGATGCTGTGTACATGGTATTCTTTGAAATTTATTGTTATTATGTTAATTTATTAAAGCGAGGTGTGCGTAGTTCATAGATCTCTTCGCTGCCTATATTTTGCAATTCGTAGATGTTTTTTTAAGTTAAAACATATCGCTGTGTACATGGATTCTTGTCAAATATTTTTGGTTAGAAACTTTACGTTTTTGCTATCTAAATTTTTTGTTTTTGCTTCGGATTTTTAGCTTAAATTGTGTGTTCAAAACGTGGATTTTGCATGTGCGAAAACCGTGTTTTTGGAGACATTTTAGCTTAAAGTTCGAAATGTAGACAAAAAATTTAGATAGTAATATGGCACCGTGGAATTTCATTTGGCAAGAAATTTGGCGACTTGAGGGCGCATATTAATAGTAGTTCCCTGAATTCAAGTAGTAAAGAATATAAGGGATTTGTTTTGATAAGTAAAATCTAAATGTTAAAAATTGTGGGTGATCATGATGAAACAGTTAAAACTGTTGGACTGAACTTTATCAGAAAGTAGTCTAACGATTCACACATAAAATACTGTGTTATTTTATTGGCAAATGAATTTGTTGTTTATACAGTTAATGCAAGATGTACGTCATATTCTCCCATATTCTGTTAATTTTTTCTGCCTGTGCATAGTTTGCTATAATATTTTAAAAGAAAGTGCAGCTTCACTTTATTCAAATCATCTTTATTACCATAAAAAAAAGTTCTTTCAGTAATGAATTCCATTGGTCCTGCTATTCAGTTAATTTTTGAACTTGAGACATCCAATTTTCTGTTCCTCGACATTCTGGTCGCACGTAACACATCCAACTTCAATACTATGGTTTACCACAAACCTTCATCGGTTTGCCTTCCACCACACTTTAAATCACGTCATCTGACTAAATAAAAGTTAGCTTCATTTTATTCCTTTGTTTTCCATGCACTTTAAGTTAGCTCCTTCAAACTTGTGTTTGATCAAAAACTAAGTTATTTAAAAGCAGTTGCTATTGACAAAAGCTTTTCACCCGACATTATTAACCAAATGGTTAAAAAATTCTAATCTCAACACATCAAAAGACGTGCTCTCATTTTAGGAGATTATAAGAATTTTGTTATCGTTTCTTTCTTTCCATTGAGTAGCTATAAAATTGCACATATTTTACAGAAATTTAACTATCAGTTCATTTTTTTCTCATATCGATATAATTCCCAATTCCATACTTAAGGACCACATTCCAGACATGAATTCCTGGGATATTTACAAGATTCTTTGCCAATGTGGTTTAATTTACATTGGTCAAACTAAGAGAGCCTTAAAATTTCGTGTCAAAGAACATAAGACATATGTTAGGAAAAAGGAAACTCAGAAATCCTCTGTTGGTCAGAAAAAGACACTTTCTTGTTTTCTGCAGCTAAAATTATTCAAGAAACATTTTCCATTGGTGAATTAGATTTTTTAGAGGCTTTTCACATTAAAAAAAATCTTCCTGTTCTAGTTAAACACTCTAATTCTAATTCATTTTTACCTTCAGCCTTTAAGGAAATTATGTTTAAATTTTCTTGTTTCATTGATAGGTGGCGTCAGTAGCTTGACATCTTTCCAACCATTCTTTTCAGCATATCTTATCTCCTTCATTTGCACTTAGGCAGCTGAGGAAATGGTTCTGTATTTAAACCATCAAAACTAGTTGTATATTATGCTGATTCTTGTTGTTTGACTTCTCCAATAATCTTCATAAAGATTTTTACAAAATGTTTAATTCAATTTTATATTTTCCTTTATATATCACAAACACCATGTTTACATTACTGGTGGAATTTACTGAACATATGAGTGTGTTATTATATTTATTATCCAGCAGGTAATCAAAAAATTTTGTCTTCTTCTCAGGTGACATTTCAAGACACAGTAAGCAAAAAGTTATGCATTTATCAAAATAGCCACTGATTTGTTGTGGAAACTAATGAAACTATGATATAAGCTTATATATATAGTCTTTGTAGAATGTCTGTTTTTAAACCTAACATAGCCTCCAAAAAAAGTGCCTATGTTAGGTTTTTTATCAGTTTATAACCTAGAACTGTCTTGTTTGCATATTGTTTTCCAAACAGAAACAAATAATTATCAGTTGATAAAATATTTGGTGAATTAGGTGGATGCAGCAGCAGTTATGATTCTAAATCAATTACTGCATTGTAGGTTATTTTTCTTTTTGCAGCATTGTCTGCAAAAGTTTAAACTTTTTTCCCCACTTCACCATTAATGATTTTTCTAATGCAAGAAGCTGCATCTGTTTAATAGAGCTTAAAATTCATCCACAATAGTTTGAGATTAAAGAGAGATTCTTTTATTTACTGTACCTACTGTTAGGCACACCATAAGTCTCTTGGGACAGAGTAGAATCTGTACAGTATGAGGAATGGAGTCTGTCAGCTGTAGTCAGTGGTATGATTACTTGTTGATGGAATATTAAACTGATTTCTCATCTAGCATAAAAAAAAAAATCCATAAAATAGTTTTTGTTAATGATGTGATGAGTGCTAATCAGATGGAAAGCTTTTAATGTCTTGCTATGTGCTTGTTCTTGTGGTACCCATTTCTTTTATCCTCAGTTGGTGCATATTCAAACGATGATTTCAGTAGCATTCAGCTTTCTTGAAAGAAATTCCTTGGCAATATATTATTTGACTTAAATGTGGAATAAATGGGATCTGGCTTTTTTTTTAAAACCAGTTTCTTATTCTCATTCTTACGTTGTGTAAGCTTCTACCAATGTGACAATTGCATAGCATGTTCTGTTTACTGATGAATAATTTCATTTATGAGAATCTGAGCTTTTTCAATTATCTACCAATATTCTAGAAAAGGTTTCCATTTCATTACTTCACATATCTTAGAAACCAGTTAAGAAAATATCAAAATGTGGAACATATTACAGCTAGTAAAAGTAGTCTTCACATACATACAGAAAGGTGAGAATAAGTTGTAACAAAGTAGCAAACATTTATTGGCACTTGTTGCCATATAAAGATGATAATCAAAATTCCTTGGAAAAACTAAAATGTAAATATCCAAAAATTTGCATGTATAAATTCTTATATTAAAAAATAAATATATGAAGCGCTTATTAAAATTTGTGTATCCATTGATGTGCTTTAAGTGCCAAACAGTTGTTTTTCCACCGATTGAACTATTTATTTTTTTGATTTGCTAAGATAGTAATTAATAATGCATAGAATGTTTATGTTACTTATTACTTTGCTAGATGTTCTTGACATTCCTGATCCTGAATTAATATTTCATTTTGGAAAAACATTGGGATTAATAGGTTATTTACCATGGCACATTCGACTCTCAGAAATACTGTAAGTACTATCAAATTAGTGTAATTATGTAGTAATTATAATGAGTATTTCTGATAAATTGTATGTCTTATATTAAAATGTATTCAGTAGGACTTGTATGCTTCAAATCATATTTTTCTTGTTTTGTGTATTTCTTCTGATTTTACATATTTCTAATATTAAAAATTAACTAGCTGAATATTAACTAAATTAACTAGTTACTATAAAAATATAAGCTAATTATAAATTATAGCTAAAAATTAACTAAATTAACTAGTTACTATAAAAAAGAAAAAATATAATATTTTTAATGAGTCTAGCTAGCATAATTCCATAGCTCCAACTAGTAATTAATAATAATAATGGAAAAAAGCTGCATTTAAAGCTTTTAAACTACTTAATTAATCAATAATGGATAGATTAAATTTGAAAGAAAAAGTAAATATCTTATGCTTTTCAAAATGACAACAAACTGGCATGTGGAAAATAAAAATATTTTTTACAATTTCTTTTAAACTGCCAAATTTTCTGATTAAATTTGAAGTATAAATGTCTTTTACTTTGCAATGTGGCAACACACTTTTTAATCACCAAGTTTGTTGCAAGAATTCATTAAGTTTACACAAAATAGGAAATTAATCAATATTAGTTCAAAATTCAGAATTCTGGCTTTGAGATGTTTATATTTGGGGGAAGGACTAGCAAAAAGTTCAAAATTTGGTGTTCAAAATTTGGTGGTTGTAGGTGCCTCTATTTTTATGCAGTGTGAGGAACAAACATATAAATTCTTCCTTATTTAATAAGAGAATAAACATACATGTTATATATAAAAAAAGTCGTTTCTATTAGTTCCTAAGACACAATGAACCAGTCTCTCTTTGTGAGCATCATGCACCTAAGTAGTGAAATTTATTATTCAACTAAGTTTTGCAATTCTGTATATGGCAAAAATGTGACAATCAGCCGCTATTGAATTTTGCAAGGTGTAATAAATGTTCCAGATGTTGCCCTTTGCCAAAAACCTAATTAGATAGATATTTTGAAATGGAAGCATCATAATACCATTTAAGAAAAATTGAGTGGATTTTGGCAGATTGAAACAGATGCCGAAATTATCAAGGTTATCATAACATGAGTTTGTGTATTTTGTGGTTGAGTTGTTTTGAGTTGGTGTATGTATTTGTAAGGCAAATCTTCAACATCTGCAAGCATTGTCAAAAGGAGACTATAGTTACAATAACTACATGTGATTCTAGTCATTTCTAAACAATGTGTTAAAAGCTTCTTAAGTAGTTCTGAAGAACCCGTTAAAAATAATCATAAATATGTACCATAAAAATAGCCACACCTCTGTGAAAATATGTTTTGCATGCTAAGAAAGATATTTTGAAAAACAATATGCAAATGATGTTCATCAGTCTCATATTTCAATACTGTGTCTACAGTTTCATTAGCTTTTTAGTCCATATATGTATTTAGATTAGAAAACTTTAAAAAAATTGCTGATGCGAAAATGTCTTGGGGAAGTGAGTGATCTTTGTGATTTCATAAAATATGTTTTTTACAGCTTGTTTTTCATTACTGTTTGCAGTTATCTAAATTTATTATTGATGAAAAAAGTATACTTTTGCAGCAAACACAATATGGCCAAATATTAAAAATTATTCACTTAGTAAAAGCAAAAAGTTAGTTGTACAAAGATAGAAAGTGTACAAGGATAGAAAATGTACCATTAGAAATTTCTTTTTCATGTGCTTGTTCAGAAATTATCATACTGCAAATACAGTATCTTAATCTGGAAATTAAAGATGGGTGTACTGTGAATTAAATACCGCATTTCCTTGCATATTTTATTCCCCTGCTTTTTAGTGCCAGATTCTTAAAATTGTATATATATTTATATACTTTCCTCGTTTTTCAGTGCTTGATTTTAAAATCGGTTCGTCCATGCAGTGATTATATTGATATTACTAATAAAGACAACCCTCGCAAACTACCTGCAAAGGTCATGCTGCATCTTTTCTTTCTAACAGTATGTCAACATAATATAATAAATGACTAATCATAGGGAAGTAAATATTGACGTTCAGTCTGTGCTTTCACAAAGTCAGCTACACATTCACTTTCTCTGTGCATGATTGGAGGCCTAAGGAGTAACAGAGACAAAAATAAGAACAGTCAGGATTTAAGTTAAAAGAAAATAGAAATGAAAATATCTTATCAGACATTAATATTACAATGTATTCTTATTAGAATGTAGGTTATTTTTAAAGATGAAATATTATAATGGGGTTACCTGTAGTTTATCCATGACTACTTTTCATTTATAATTCATCTTTGTTTGTTCTGTCTACAGTTGTCTTTATAATCTGCCATTAGAAATAAAATTTATAAATAAATAAAATAAATTAAAAAAATAAACTTTGCTTTTTTATGTTCTTACTGTAACTGCAACCTTCAGCAATTAAATTAGTCTCATAATTTGGTTGCTCAATTTTCAATGCTCTAAATTTTCCTCTTGAAGGAAAGTTTTCTGATAGTAGTTGAAGAAGTTTTTTATTTAAAGGTAGAATTATTTTCATTTGCACTTGAAATCATACTATGAATTCAATGATTAAATCATCTGTGAATTTGTTATCTAGATATATATAGGTTAGATCAAAGAGGAATCTGTATGTTGTGCTTAACCCTTTGCGATCGTATATCTATCCACTCTCAGCCACCAAAGCCTTTTTACTGTTCCGGTCGTATGTCTACTCTCAGCGACCACAGCAAGGAACTATACGAATCGTATACTGTATGCATTCATGTATCAGTTTACACTTTTCCTATACGAACCTCAATGCCTAAAGAACCTATTCATGAACCAATACGGTGCTCTATCGATTGGAGATAACGTAATCTAATCTAAACAAAAGTTGTGACCCAGCGCTCACCATGCAAGACGCAGTGGCAAGTCAGTCGTCTTTTGAACGTAATGAAATCGACAATGTTCGACGATACCTTTTAGAATTCCAAAGAATATTTTTATATATTGTATTTAACAGTAATTAGACATTCTCTCTTCTTAAAATATTCCAAAATAATTCCCCAAAATGGCAAAAAGAAAGTTACCACAAGAAGTGTTCGGTGAAACTGACAATGGCGATGAAGAGTTTTATTTTGGCCTCTTGAATACTGATTCTGCTAGAGAAGGTGATAATGACTGCAATGAGTCTGATAGTGACATAGTTCCCGTGAAGCGACGAGTAAGGTAGTTAACATTATCCAGCGACAGTGATACAGAAAATGATGAAAATGAGAATAGTAATATAAACGAATTTACTACTTGGAGAGACGTTATGTACACAGATCAGCCGCAATCAAAAACTAATTTTTTGATGGGATCGAAGACTGTTGGACCGAGTGTGGATAAGGCTAACCAATTAGCAAGTTCATATTGTTTTATGAGAAAATTGTGCAAACCTCTAATTTTGGGGGATTAAAGGTTTGTGTAATAAATAGTTACATTTTATATAAGGTGTCTAAGAAGAGAGAACAGGACACCTATGCCATATTTTATGTACGTTTGAAAATTGGTGCCACAACTGGTAGGTGATTTTCGTGATAGAGAAGATTCAAAACCAAAAAGACCATCGACCTCCGATAAGGAAGAAAGACTTAATGGAAAACTGCATATATTGTGGCATTGTGAAAATGAAAAAAGTAAAGATTGTAGTGTATGTTCAAACAGAAAGAAAAAGGGTGGAAGGCAAAAAATAAATTATTTTTGCGATACATGCACTTGAAAACCTGGCCTGCATGTTGGAGTGTGTTTTGAAAAATATCACATGAAGGAGAATTATAAAACATAATTTTTATACAAAAACATATCACTAGATGAGTGTATTGAATAAAGATATATCTGTAGTTCACAAAAGAATTACTAAATCTTGTTTATCCATTTTAAACTTGCGTGTTATGTATCCCTGCTCTACCGACGGAAATTAATTCCGACCAGTACGATAACCATCTCCAAATTTAATCCGACTGCAAAGGGTTAATATTATCTCATTGTTACGTTATGTAAAAATACAAAATATCAAATTAATAAATTGAATTTACTTTGTAATTACGTTCAGTTTGACTGCCGGGTAGATCTTCACAAATCCAATAATGTGAAGCTATTAGAAGAAACTTTATTACAGTCCCTTGACAAAATATATACATAATCAAAAATTTATTATAGTTTTGCATTTGTTTTTACATAGGACCATTTTTTACTTTACTCAGTTCTCAACTGTTTATTTATTTTTCAAAAACATCTACATTGCTCGAGCACTGTTAGTCAGCACCCTCTGTCTATCAGCTCGTGGTTTCATAATGATCTCCCAATGTTGAGTACGGTGGAATTTTACTCGACATCACAGAACAGGTCTCTTTGGCTTATGTATTATTCATCCACTATTAGAAATAACTGGTGGATATATCAGGTCTGCTTTGTCTCTTCCATCCAGAATAGCTTGCAAAACCCTCATTTCGTTTGATTGCTCACCCATTTCTAAAGGATAAATATTCTGCATGGGCCTAACTATGCGCCGTTCCTTGTTTTTACCTGAACAACACGAACATGCCCATCCTTCCCTGGATATAGCTTAATTATTCTTCCTAGCTGCCAATCAATCCATTTACTGTTTTCATTACCAACCAAAACTATTTCTCCTAATTTTAGTTGTTCCTTAAAATTACCTGCTTTCTTAGAATTTTTAAGTTGTCCTAAGTATTCAGCTCAGACAAGAGAATCCTTTTCTTAAATCTTCTCTGAGTTTCTGACGATACTACCAATGCTTATTCAGCTCTGTTCCATTTATGTGATCAAATTTCAAGAACCTTCTACATTGTCCCTTAAAAACATATTTGGATTTAAAGGCATTAAATCTTGAATGTCTTCTGATATGTGTATCAAAAGACGGGAATTGACAACATTTTTACCTTTATGTAACACAGCGAGTAATCTTCGTAATCTAGGCTTGTTCTGCCTA